GTGGCAGAGCGGGTCCCCGCCCCGCCCCGCCCACCCGGTGCCCGCCTTTCATTGCTCCTTAGCAACTGACTGGAAGCGAAGCGGTCGGCCGGAGGTGGCAGGAAAGGAGGCCACATGTAAATTGGTCAATTTGAGCAGCTTCACTGCAGAAGCCGGTGTGGGAGAGAGATGCAATTATTCCAAAGAACACAGTGGCTTTTATTTATTTTTTTTTAGGAATATGGTCTGTGGCCTTCCACTGTCTGTGTGGCTGTGCTGGGCATCTCCCTCCACAGGTCACAGCAGCCTGGGGTTGGGGTTCTTCATAAAGAACCCCAATTACGTGTATTATTTTCTCATCAAAGCGACCTGAAAACAAAATTTACCCTGAAGCCTTACATCATGTAACGCATATAATTCGCCAGCAAGCCGAAGGAGCAGACAATGCTACACAGATGACTCTGGATGAATCTCAGAATCTGCTGTGCCCACGGCCAGTCTGAGAAGAAGACGTGCCTACTATTAGGGTTTGGGTAGCAGGCGGTAAATCCATCCATCCATCCACTGATTCTAAGAACTTCGTTCAAACACAATGTTTAGACCTCTCTAATGCTTTATTCTTAATTAAACCCAGATGTAAGAGGGAAAGCGAGGAAGGATGGCCCTTCAGGCTCCCGTACTGTCCCCCACTTCGCCCCCTGAAGCCACAGAAAGGAGGGCATCACAGACTGCTAAAGATGAGTTGGCTCCACAGCCCAGGCGGAGAGGGAGGAGGGCGTCTGCGGCTCTGGGAAGAAAGCAGGCTCCTCTCTTGACACTGGGAGAAGAAATAAGCACATTTTATTATCCAATCAGTACATTAAATGCCATCGGTACAGAGTGTATGTTCCGCTATGCTGGTGTCAGACGCCTGTGAGCTGGGCTTCAGGAATGCGCTCCTGGCTGACGTCACTTCAAGACAGTTCACAGATGGGGCTCCAGAGACTTCCTTCCAAGCCCAGCCCGAGGGCAGCTAGGAGCTAGGGACCAATTCGCAACAGGGAGAGCTGCCTGCTTTGGGCACCTGCTGTTTATTCCACACCGGGCTCCCGGGCCGGTAAAGAGGCTCTGAAACACCTGCTGCAATAGGTTGGCTCCTCCTTCTTCCCACAAGCCCCCGGTTGCTTGCAACCTCATAGACTTGGCAAGTTTACTCCCAGCCCCGCATCTGATCAGGAAGGTGCCACACAGCAGCAGCCTGGACCAGCCAGGAGGGAGGGGATGCATCTTCCTAAGCCAGGAGCAGCCTTGCCTCCCAGGTGACCTTTGGCGACGTCTAGAGACATCTGTGACTCGTAACAGGGATGCTACTTGCTCGCCACAGGTAGAGGCCAGGATCACGGTGACATCCCATAGTGCCGGACAGCTCTGCCACACAGCAGACATGCCACGTGTCAGCAGCACACAGGTTAAAGCCTGTTCGTGGCCATGCAGACACTGAATCGCCATGTCCACACCACAGGTGTTGTGCAAACAGGGGAGAGGCCGGAAGTGGCCGGCTCTTACAGGAAATGCTACGAGCTGGGCCATAATCCTTATGGGATTTCTATGACTGCACTTCAGCCAAGAGTGCACAGCTGAGTAAGAGGAGAGGGGGAATTTGATTTACATTTTGGGTGTGGTGATGATTTGGGGTGTGGCTTGCCCACTTGACCATGAACTGCAAGACCACAGCCCCTGTGAGTGGGATCTGCAGAGGCTGACAAAGTCCCTGGCCCTCAAGGAGGTGCTAATGAGCAGGTGTTAATGGAACGGAAGGAATGAATGAAAAAACAGTGTGGTGCAGTGGTTAGAAAGCCAACCATTCTAGGTGTGACCATGGCCTGTGTTCTGCGGGATGGCTTGGCGGGCTGGCGCTGCACTTTAGTGGCTCGTGATGGGGGACTGTTAATTTTTCAGGAGTTTTGCAAGCTGGGTGTCAAACACCCCTTGAAAGAGACTTAAGTTATATCAAGTTATAATTAAACAGGTCCTATTTTTAAGACAGCCATAAAACTTACGGTTTCCTAATTATCATCCATTTTATTGAAATCCCTGGTCTTGAGGTTATTTATGTCTACTGGAAGGGTCGCCGGACTTAGTCTGTGAGGGGGCCAGCGGGTGGGCATTGTTAGGTTTTGTACTCTGGGGGCCGCTCTGCTGCGGTTTGCTGAGTGGGCCGTGGTTCTTCCTGGCTCTCCATGGCTCTTCCAAAGGCCGAGGCGGGACTGTTTACACCAGGGAAATGGTCAGGTGCTATAAATCAGGCTTTTTTTTTGGGCGGCCAGCTAGCTGTTACACATTTAGCGCACACCACTGGGTACAGCTGCAAGGACACCGGGGTGCGCCCTGCCTGGCCCGAGGGTGCAATGCACTGGGGCTTGTGAATGTCTGCGCTTTCCTGCTGTGCTGTCAGCCCCTCAAGTTCAACATCGAGTTCTTTGAAGGCCTGCATTCCTGCGTACTGAAGAGGGTGATTTGGGTGCATGGCCCACCCATGGAAACACTGGGCTTGTGTCTCCCCCAGATACGCAGGAGCTGCTGGGCGGGGCTTTCAGAGGGCTGAACTCAGCCTAACTTCTAGGTCAGGAACTTGGCACAAGGAGACAGCAGGCTCAGCAACTTACTTCTCTAGTCCAGTCAGAGGGGAGGGACTTGACCACCGTGGACTGAGGACCAGCACCAGCGGCACCTCATGCAGCAACTGATGAGCACTTTCCTACGCAGTGGGGACTTTGTGAGCTTGGACAGTCATCGTCACACTGGCTGAGCCCCAGCAAGGTGAAGACATGAGTGAGCACTCCTGGCTTCCACCTTCAAGGAGCTTTCCTTCTTCAATGTTTTGGGGGATCCATCTCCCTGATTTCAAACTAAGGTCAAGGAGTATTATTATTTCGAGATGAACTCCATACCTTCTTCTTGAGTGCCTACCTGGGAAAACATTATAAAGGAGACATGTTGAATAGCTTCTAAAATTGGCAGAGGAGTTGGGAAAAACTTGGAATTTGAGGTCAAATGGAATCTCAGGTTCAAATCTTGGGTGGATCTCTATAGTTAGACCACACGGGGCTCATAATAACTCCCGGGCTGGCTGGGAAAGAGAAAAGAGAACATGCATGTTTGGCTCCAGGCTAGTGCCTGGCCTTGGGGTCTGGTCATTAGCCTCCTCCACGATACTGCTTACTGTTGACAGATGAACTGCTGGACCAGGGGCACCGGGGATGTCCGCAAAGGCCCAGAAGAAATCAAGGACCTTTTGCATGCTGGTTGATCTCATTCTTCTGCCCCACTTGGTGACTCCGAGCCGATCCCCACCACCTTCCCTCCAGGTGGCCACCAAGGCTCCTCACCGGCCTCCTCCTCTGCAGCCCTTGGCTGTGTCATGCTGCAGCCAGTGACCTCCTGAAGATGCCATGTCCCTGGCATGTGCACTCCCTGCACGCCCATGAGGTTGTGCTTCACTGCTCCGGCCCCTGGGCCTGAATTTCAGGGCACTGCTAGCTCACTCCCCCGGGCCTCTGCCCTACCTGGCACCAGGTGGCAAATGAGTGGCTTCCTGCACAGGAGCACCTGCGTCCTTCTTTACCTGATTCCCAAAGAGCTCCTGGGGGAGAGCACGTACCCTGCAGCTATGCCACCTCCCCCACAAGCGGGGTCAGGCGCCCTCCTTCTGTTCCTGTAGCTCTATGCACAGTGTGGTCCCTGTTTCCATGGTGTCCTCGACCTTAACCCCATGCTGTGTGGTTCACATCATGGGTTCTGGAGTCAGGGAAACTGGGCCTGAACCCGAGTAGCTCGTAAGGCCAGCTGAGTCATTTAAGCTCTCTGTGCCCCAACTGCAAGAGTGGGTGATGGCAGTACCTATGTCCTGGGTTTCTGTGACAAAAAGAAAAAAAATGACACGTGCATGCAAAATCCTTTGCTCGTAGGAGGCCTTGGGCTACTGTGGCTGTCAGAGTAATTGCTGCTAATACCCCAGTGCCTGGCTTGCAACCAGGATACAGCCGGAACTGTACAGAGCCTTGAATGAATGGCCTAACCCCAAGTCTCAATGGACTGGGGCTTTCTGGGCCCTGGCCATCCCCCACACCCACATCTACACCAGGAGGTGGGGCCTTGTTGAAGGAGAGGGTCCAGGGCTGGTCTTGGGGACTACACCTGGTCCCTGGCCCCTTCCCCCTTGGCTCTTGCTCTCTCTGCTTCCAGGCTGCCAGCTCAGCAGCCTTGCCCTACTATGTCCTCCCGCCACCATGTTCCTGCTGTCACAGGCCTGCAGGCCACGGAGCCAGCTCATCAAGGACCAAAACCCCTGAAAGCATGTGCTGACACAGGCTGTTCCTCCCCGAAGCTGACTTCCTCAGGTGTTTGGTCGCAGCGAAGCAAAGTTAATGCACCCCTTTTTCCCTGATGGTTTCCCCAGCCTACTGAAGTCCAGGACTTGGAGAAAATGTCAGCAAATTGCACAAAGCTGGTCTTATTTGGAGAGGGATGCAGGGTGTGACCTACCCTTCCATTACCTGTCCCCAGCCCTGGCTGTCTCTTCTGGGGAGAGCGGGCTGTGGACTTCTGGGCTGTGCTCATGATACAACACGCTACAGACAGGGGTGTTCACGACAAAGGCACCTCGCTTAGCCAGCAGGCAGACGTTCGGGGCTTTCGTAGTATTAACTGCAGCAGCGCCTGTAGGTGGGATGCCTGGCCCAGGAGCTGAGCGCTGGCTGGGTGGCCTCAGGTGCTGCTGGCTGGCGGGGACAGGAAGGGAAGGTTTCTCCTTCCAAGGTGCAGTTGGTGACGGTGGTTCATTCCACAGTGGCCCTTCGGCTGTGCCTCTTGAGCCAGTGGAGGTCTGGGGACAGAGGGGTGCATGGCCAGCTTCGGTGAAGAAGCTGGCACAGCACAGGCAGCAGAGCAGGTGACTTTCGGGGAGGGGGCTGTTACCTGGGATCCTACAAGGGGCTCTGTCTCCAGGGCTGGAGGAAGAGAGGCAGGGAGCCTGTCCCCTTTTTCCAGGTCAGAGCCGTCAGAGCAGGGAGGCGAGGCCTGCAGAGGTGGATAACAGAGGGCACATCTGCATTTCCCGGAAGCTGTCTTAGGGTCTCGGCTGCAACCCCCAGCCCAGCGCCGCGGGGACCACCTGGTCACACCTCGCTCGTCAGTGGTGTGATCGACTCCTCTCCTGCGGGCCCGCGCACAGATCGCCCCATCGCCCGATCGCGTGGAGCCCGCAGTCGGCTCGCACCCGCCTGGGCA